TTTTGGCGGCGTCGAGGACAGTTGAACTGGGAGGACGTGGCAATGGGATTAGGTGTACCGGGCTATTTATCGGGTTCGGCGATGAAGATCGGCGGCGGAGAAAGTAATGCGTCGGTAGGTGACGGACAGTTGGTTAAGATTGATAAAGAGCTTAGAATACAAGGTCTGCAACTCAAGAAAGACAAACAGCAAAATAAGCCAATACAAGAGGAAGGAGAATGAGATGAAGGTAGCAAGCAGAACAAAGGAGGTTATGGCAAAACAGTAGATGCCAACGACAACTTGTGAACGATGGCGACAAGATGGTGATAGAAACAAGGAGGCGGAGTTACGTTTCTGGTGGTGGTCGGGAGCGAGCGCGAATGCGAATGGATGGTATGGTTGAATGAATGGTGCGGTCAGGCACTTTTGTCACCTTTAGCTTAGTGCTATGCTGCCCGCCGCTGTGGTAGCCCGATGGAGATTGGATGACGGAGGTGGATGGGGCACTTCAGGCGGTTGCTGTTCTAAAGACTGGGGGCCACGGACAACTTCAACCACTAATAAAAAAGAGACAAGGAATAGAATACAGAGGAGCATCAAGATACCCCAGTCTGCCCAGCCTCGTTGAAACCCAAGAAATAGAAGATCATTGCGAGGATTACATTTTGCGACGGTGATTTTTTATGGCAGCCAGTATCATACAGGGGACGACTACCTAGAAGCGACAAAAAAAGAAACCAAAATGGGTCGATCGATGGAATGAAATTATCAGCGGAGTCAACCCAACATTAGATCCTTATTATAGGTCCTCGCTGTGGCACGAAGTTACGAGATCGTCTGCTGGGCTCCCGTCACTTCGCGTAAGTGCATGGAATGGATGTTTATAGAGCAATTAATTAAAATCCACGTTGATAATTATCCAAAGTATCCTCGGAGACATGGATCAAGAATTGGCCATTGCTATTTTTGACATATCCTTGCTTTTCATCCTGGGGAAACCAGTTATTGTTCTACGCCTCGGGATATAAGACAAAGAAGAAAAGAGTTTCAAGTCCATCAAGTAAAGATACTCGTTAGCTCGCGTGTTTTTCTGTGTTAGGCCCCCTCCGATGTTGCACATAAGGTACTGTAATCATTTCTCGGAGCCTTGCGAGATTGATCACCTGAATCACGGCCGTTGAAGAGTTTATAGTCAAGGGGGCTTAGTGCCTAGGTCCTCGTCACCTATCCACTAGAATGGACCCTTTTGACGCCTCGTGATAACTTTACCTTTATGGTACTGGCCTCAACATCACGAACTGCGAACCCTTTGCATAACATGTGGCTTTCTTGGCCCCTTATATCTCCTCATTGCTGTATCATGTATGCGAGTTTTACACAGCATTCAACGCAAATGTCACACGTAGACACGGATTTCAAGTTACACATCCACACGTGCCACCATGGATGTGAACAAAAAGACAGCAACGTCTTTAATAACTTGCTTTTGATAGGGCAGGTGACGTCCACTATGACACGTCTTAGGATACCGGGGTTTTGAGTGCTGGCCATCAGACGGTGGTTGTTTGTTGACCCTAGCCACCAATTATTCCAGTGCCCGTCTTAAAGTCTGCAGTTGCAGTGTTACCGATTTTTGGTTGATGGCATGGAAGCTGTCAGATATTGCGCGTCTGGTAAAGAATAGTAAGGGGTTCAATGCCGTCATTCCCGCTCACCCTAGGCTCCACTTGATTGCAGAATAAGATGATTGGGTTTGGTATACGAGGCAAAGTTCAGACTTTGGAGCTATAAGGAAGCGACGGTGATAGAATTTGGATACGAAGAAATGGTAGTAATTAAGGTATGCTTAATGGTGTGCTTTACGAGCTGTCAACAGCAGCTTCTAATGAGAGCATGTAGTTATCGTGTAGATTCTGGCATTAAGATGATTGACAAATGAAGAACTTCCACCTACTATATGTTTAGTACATTACTGTATACCAAGGATCTCGAATACTAAAGAGACTAATAAAATATATAGTCTTGAGTAAAACTCATGATTAACTCACGATGCACAGCTTCAACTCTCCACGTAGACATGAAGGCCATGATTGTGATAGCACTTGTCAATCTCAGCAGAAGTACATATTCAAGGCATATCGATACTTACCTATAGAAAATGCTTTGCTACCTACCCTTGTCAATATCCCCTTCGCCGATGCTGTAGCTACAAGATCTTCTCCAAGTTCAACCTCAAACTCAGCCACATATAAAGCCACACATATAATAACAGTCTGGCCAGCATTAATAAAAGAGCCAGCGTGGCGGATCACACTCACTGACTGAACCTACCCCTGCCCCTCGACCAGACTGGACCAGTCTGGAACAAGCCAACGACACGTTCCCCAATCGTTCAATCAATCCAATCTCCTTTCAGACGCAGCGATAACCAATTCAAATCAAACCTCATTTGTCTCTGGCATTCTTTGTTGCGCATCTACCGTTAACTTAGCTCTCAGCCTCTCTCTAGTCTTTTTCTCCATTTAGTACCGCCCCGAGGCTTCGCGACACTTTAATTCTCTCTACACATTGCGCTTTCGACCAACTTCTTCGATTCGAATCGTCAAAAAGTACTCCTTTCTAATTATCCTGCTATTCGTCCGCGTCACCCCTCGACGTTCCCTTCCGCCTGCGCTGCCAACCGAGACCTTATCCGGACCCTTCCACATCGACGTTCAACATTCACAACTCGACACATCTCCAGTGAAACACAAGTCGCATAGGTGGCATATTTATCGCTGCTATAACACCGATCCCCCGACTCTTTTCGAGACACGAAGCCGCGCTGGCCGCAGTCTGACATCTCCGCTTTTATCCTTAACCCCTCTTAATTTGGCCACCATGGCTGTCGCATCTATTCAAGACCGAACCTCTGAGTTCAAGTCGGTACTCGCACAAGCACAGCGAAAACAATCCTCCTCAAAAGTCGGCTCTCAGCGCCGGTCTCTATTGACCGATGCGCAAAAAGATGCCGCCAACGGTCATGCTGGAGGTCCCCCAAGACGATCCGAGTTCGCCCGGAAGGCTGCTGAAATTGGACGTGGCATCTCTGCGACTATGGGCAAGTTGGAGAAGCTAGCTCAATGTGAGTATCATTCACCAATCTGGAGGCGCGAATGCCCGGCGTAGTTCATAATTCTAACCTGAAGAAATAGTGGCGAAGCGACGAACCCTTTTCGACGACCGTCCCGTGGAAATCAATGAGCTTACTTTCGTCATCAAGCAAGATCTTTCGTCTCTGAACCAGCAAATTGGAGCTCTTCAAACACTCACCAAGCAACAACACCCCAAGGCCGATCAGGAGGGCGAGCACAACAAGAACGTTGTCTACCTACTACAAGGCAAACTTACTGATGTCTCGGTCAACTTCAAGGACGTTCTTGAGGCCAGAACCAAGAACATCCAGGCATCGCGATCGAGAACCGAGAACTTCATCTCCTCCGTGTCGCAACATGCGCAACCATCAATTCAACAGTCGGCTTCTCCTCTCTACGGAACACCAGCTCGCAACTCACCCGCGCCGGGAGCCCAAGATACTCTGTCTCTCAACCCCGTCGGCGATCAACAGTTGCTGATGATGGAAGAGGCACAGCCTTCCAACACATATATCCAACAACGAGGCGAAGCGATTGAAGCGATTGAGAAGACCATCGGCGAGCTTGGCAGTATTTTTGGACAACTAGCTACCATGGTTTCAGAACAAAGCGAGATGATCCAGCGCATTGATGCCAACACAGAAGATGTGGTCGATAACGTCGAAGGAGCACAGCGAGAACTTCTCAAGTACTGGAACAGAGTATCAAGCAACAGGATGTTGATTGCCAAGATGTTTGGAACGCTAATGATTTTCTTCCTGTAAGTTCACCTTTCGTCTCCAGGACACTACCAAGACTACCGTCAAAGGTGATTAGCAGTTACTAACAAACTTGTAGGATTTGGGTTCTTGTTTCGGGCTAAACCTTGACGACGAAACGCAACACAAGACACGAGAAAAAGAGGCGGGCGCAGAAAAACTTGGACCAAGGAAGGGAGTTTACGGCACATGTTTTGTTGTAATGGGGTACTATTCGATAGGTGCACTTCCTTTCCATATGTACGTATGTTTGTACCTTATACTTTGTAGTCGTTTTTTCTTAGAGATGGATTGGAACGACGTAGCATAGAGAGAAGGGTCTTGCAGGAAGACTCGTCGATGGCTCATGTTGGGGGTTTCAGGATTGATAATGAATCAGTAGATCCTCAATTGCATAGACTTACGAATTGAGTGACAAAGTATCAGGCATATTCGTGAACAGTGGGATTGTTTGTGATTGGTGTCATGGCTTGACAGTGGGCGATAGCTACAACCCCCACGCTGATGGGAGAGGTATCAAGGCTGGGATATGAGATATAGCCGGTATAGCATCACCAGTCAAGAATATATAAAGAGGCAGAGTCGGCCATCGGCCCTTGAGCTTTTCCTACTCAATTTCTAGCATATAACCAAGTGTAGACATTTCCCGGCATTCTCTGAAAGGGCAATAACTCCGTAAACAATATCTTTCAACCTTTGGGGGCATCGTCGGCCGGAGTTCTCACCGACCTCTCTACCACTCCAAGTTAGCCTCAACTCACCATCTCAAGCCTCGGAGCAACCCCACCCCGAGAAATCTCCATCGACCAGCGCTTTTCCGTGCAAACTGCACCCCAAACTTGCTCTAAGAGGCAAAAATGCCCCTCGAGCTCGGTGACATGCCTAGCGTTTGGCGGGGTTCACCCCGCAAAGATGAGCGTAGATTGGGGGGGTTTTATCGAAGAATAATAGAGTAGCTCGGTAGATTAAGCTACGTAGGCATGAGGGGCATTGGGTGATGTTCATGATGTGGCAGCGGTTTATAACCTGCAGGTCTCCCGCTTCTGTACGTGTTTCTTCTCTCGTGTTTTGTTCTAGATCTCTCTCATCTTCTTCACGATATTCATTGTCTTACAAGATTCACACAATGGCTCCCTCTACTTTCAAGCTTAACACTGGCCAGGAGATTCCTGCCCTTGGTCTCGGTGCGTTGTTTTCACATGTTTCTACCTTAGAAAGCTCAATTGACTGACTCTTGTTATTTGTAGGTACCTGGCAGTCTCCCGCTGGCGAGGTCGAGAAGGCCGTTGCATATGCCCTCAAGGACGGTTACAAGCTGATCGACTGCGCCTACTGCTATGGAAACGAGGAGGAGGTCGGTGCTGGTCTCAAGGCTGCTTTCGAGGCTGGTGTAAAGCGTGAGGACATCTTTGTTGTCACCAAGGTCTGGGCTACTTACAACACCCGTCCTGAGCTTGGTCTGGACAAGAGCTTGAAGGCTCTTGGTCTTGACTATGTTGATCTTTTCCTGGTGGTAAGTTACTAGTCAGAAGATCTGTTGGGTTTATATGCTAAACAGTCATAGCACTGGCCTCTTCTCCTCAACCCTGAGGGTAACGATGACAAGTTCCCCAAGAAGCCTGACGGCTCCCGAGATGTTATCCGAGACTACAACCACGTCGATGGCTGGAAGCTCATGGAGAAGCTCCCTGCTACCGGCAAGACTCGCGGTGTCGGTGTCTGCAACGTATGTCCTCACACGTTCAGTTCGTCAGGTCTCAGCTAACATTCGGTATAGTACAGCAAGAAGTACCTCGAGGAGCTTCTGCCTCACGCCACCATCGTCCCCGCCGTTAACCAGATCGAGAACCACCCCAGTCTGCCTCAGCAGGAGATTGTCGACTTCTGCAAGGAGAAGGGTATTCACATTGAGGCCTATAGTCCCTTTGGCAGCACTGGTGGTCCCGTCATGACTGCTGAGCCTGTTGTCAAGATTGCTGAGAAGAAGGGTGTTTCCGCCTCTACTGTCCTCCTCAGCTACCACGGTAAGTTTCATAAGATTACTTTTCAAGGAGGTCTTGCTAACATATATTTAGTCGCCCGTGGAAGCACCGTCCTCGCCAAGTCAGTCACCCCCGAGCGCATCACTGCCAACAAGACCATTGTCGACCTTGACGACGAGGACATGAAGGCCCTGAACGACTACTCAGAGGACCTCGTGAAGAAGGGTGAGGTGAAGCGATATGTTTACCCTCCTTTCGGAATCGACTTCGGGTTCCCCGACAAGTCATGAATCAAAGGTCGGCTATAGTTATATGACATTGGGATGAAGGACGAGATATGATAAAAGCGGCATTAAATGACATTGCATCTATAATAGATCAGAAGCTCAAGTTAGCTTCATAAATAGAAAAAGTTAAAGTCTTGAAGAATGTTCGAATTTGTTCCATGTGCTAGTCCTTGCATTGAAGTTTTAGTGTCATGATACTTCGAGATTCAAGCCGTAGGATACACTCCTAGATCGGAGTACGATGAGAACTGCCAGACGAGATGCCGAGTTTGGACTAGAACTGCTGGTGTTTCGAATTTAGCATGTCCAATAACTTGTCATTTTGTTTGAGTCTTGACGAGAAGTTTTGTGCTTGTTAAGTATGCAACTCTCTAACACCCTCGCCATGGGCATGTTCACTCGTCAGTCAAACATGTGAAGTATGACAGTGAGAAAACTTAGAGTAATTATCACAATTAGTTAAATGTCTCATCATTTTGCTAGAAATCAGGTATCTATAATCCCCAAGACCCCATACAACACGCCTTTTACCCCGTTCATGAATACCTCACTCGTAGACTCACACAACCATTATTGGTTTACAACCGACCTTTTAGTCATTTTTCACTGAAGTCCACCACAACCTTAATAACAAGGTTACCTTGTTCGTCTCTCACTTTGCCAGCCATCTTGAAAGCATCTTCAATATTCTCCATGCCCTTGTATCTTTGAGTGACCAGACGGCTCACGTCAGGCATGTTGGCAGGAGGATTGGCTAAGAGCTCAATGATCTCCTTGTATGTGTTGGCGTAACGGAAGACACCCACGATGTCTACTTCGCGAAGAGCAGCAGCAGACATAGGGATGGTAAGGACAGGAGTTCCCATGCCAATGATCATGACCTTGCCTCCAGGCTTGGTAGCGTAGATAGCTGTTTGCACACAGGTTTCTACACCAGTGCACTCGTACACAGCTGTGACCTCACCGACAGCCTCTCCGTTGACCTGTGTCTCTTTCACCATAGCAGCAACCTTTTGAGCAAAGGCAAGCTTGTCCTCGATAGTTTGTGGGCGCTCCATGGGGACGACGACTGAAGCATCGGCGAAACCGTTGTTGATGGCAAAGTCAAGACGATCCTTGAGAATATCGGCGATGATGATGGTCCTGGCTTGATCAGCCTTTGCGACAGCGGCTGCTAGAAGACCGACAGCACCGGCGCCGAGGACGAGGACTGTTGAGCCCTTGGGAAGGGCTGCGCGGTCTCGGGCGTGCATTGCGACTGAGAGAGGCTCCACGAGAGCGCCGAGATCGAGAGTGACATGTTCAGGCATTCTGAGCCAAAGTCAGTACATTCCTCAACTCACAACGCTTCAATTGTCTTACTTGTGACACCACTTAGCAGGGTGATTGATTCTCTCTTGTAGAGTTCCCTGCGCATGAGGATTGGCCTTCGCCGAGCTACGGAACTTCATTCCACGGCAGATGTTGTAACGACCCTCACCGCAGAGCTCACAAGCCTCACAAGGTAGACCGACCTCAAGAGCGACATGGTCGCCAGGCTTGAGATGTGTAACTTCTGAGCCAACGGCTACGACTGTGCCTGCGGACTCGTGGCCGAGAGTAAGAGGTTCGCGAACGATGATGTCGCCGTTGCGGAAGTGGTTGTAGTAGTGAAGATCGGAGCCGCAGAGGCCGGTTGACTTGACGGCGACTTGGACTTCGTTGCTTGAGGGTTGAGGAAGTTCACGCTCTTCCTATCAGTTGAATCAGTTGATTGTCTTGGACGCAATTGAGTTAATGGTGCTTACCAGACGGAGATCCTTCTCTCCATGAAGGACGGAGGCCTTGACACGATCAGTTGCCATGATGAAGGTATGAGAGAGGTGAGAGTGGTGATATGACGATGAGAATGATTAAAGATGAGCAATTGGTGACTTGTTGTTACAGAAATATGCAAGAAATGTCGAAATGTTACAGATGCAAAAGTTATTGGAAGATCATGGATCAAGATGAGAGCGAGAGGTGGGTTAGTAAAAGGCGGAAACAGAAAAGGACATTCAAGCCAGGGCCGATGTCGACCAAATATCGGATTGGACAGAAGCTATTCGACTATAACACTCCGTTATTGACCCAAGTAAGCTACTTCGTTGAGTACCATCGCGGAGAGAGGACCGAGATGACCTCGGAAAAGGCGCCCCACGATAGCATTGAATGCCCCGCGACGAGACCGTCCCATGACGTCCAATGCCCCCATGACAGCAAAAAAGGAAGAGAGAATCTTTATCCGCAGTGGTAGAACCAGTGCTAGCGTGCCCCCACTGCCCTGTATCCCGCGGGGTGAAGCGCTAAAGATTGAGCCGTTGGGTTAGGATGATCCACTGTGTTGGAGATGTTGGAGAAGCCCAGGGAGGAAATGTTGGCCGATTCATGAGCCGGATGAAGAGAAGTGACAAGATGTGTCTCTACAGAGGATTTATCCTGCATTGGATTACTTATAAGATGGTAGCAGGTACTTGTCTGAGCTGAAGTATCAAGAGCCAATGCGACCAGTCTGTAAAGATATCTCATGATACAGAATCACCCCTCTGCGGGGATCTCGAAAGCTCGTCTTCGGCCTTCTCTCCGATCATCACAAGCCGGTTGAATGTAAACCTACAAGTAAACCTGCATTACAAACAAATAATCAATTGGCCAGTTCTAGTCCGGTCCAGTTCACCTAATTAGAACCAATCCGGCTCCTCCTAAGTCGGAGCTCAAGAGTTAACCCCTCGGTCATTAATAGCGTAGCACCCCATCCATCTCATGGTGGAACTGACTGCCCCTCGTTGAATGAACCCAAAAAACGTCGATTGCTCACGACGTCAGTAATCTACACGCTAATACTGCCAAAATGTCAGCTTCTTTCTTCTCCCTTGAGGGCCAAACTGCTCTTGTAACTGGTGGTACTCGCGGTATTGGCCAGGCTGTAGCAATTGGTCTTGCTGAAGCTGGTGCGGATATTATTCTTGTTCAGGTATGGAACGTCTCATGATGAGGCCAGAACTTGAGACTAACTGGACATACAGCGAGATACTACATCACAGTCAACAAAAGAGTCGATCGAGAAGCTTGGTCGCAAGGCTTTCATCTATACTGCCGATCTATCATCTCAAGAATCTGTTGCTGGCCTTGTGCCCAAGGTCTTGGCCGATGGACACCAGATTCGCATCTTGGTGAACTGCGCTGGCATTCAGCGGCGACACCCTTGTGAAGTCTTCCCTGACAGCGACTTTAATGAGGTATGAAATGTCAATCTCTGTTACATAATGTATCTAACGAGCTACAGGTCATTCAAGTAAACCTCAACTCCGTCTTCACCCTCTGCCGTGACGTCGGCGCACACATGCTCAACCTCGAACCCTCTCCCATCACCGGCCGTCGCGGCAGCATCATCAACTTCGCCTCCCTTCTCACCTTCCAAGGCGGTTTCACTGTCCCCGCCTACGCCGCATCCAAGGGTGCTGTAGGCCAAGTCACCAAGAGTTTCGCCAACGAGTGGACCTCAAGGGGTATCACGGTGAACGCCATTGCTCCCGGTTACATCGCTACCGACATGAACGAGGCTCTTCTTGCGAACCCAGAGCGTCTTGCTAGTATTACTTCGCGAATTCCCGCGGGTAACTGGGGTTCACCGGATGACTTCAAGGGTACGGCTGTGTATCTGGCGAGTAAGGCTAGTGGGTATGTGAGTGGACATGTGTTGGTTGTTGATGGCGGTTGGATGGGCCGATAAACGATGCGTTCGAAGGTGGTCTCTGAAGCAAGCTTGAAAATAGATTATAATATAATATCTTCGACGTTTTTACAAAGTTGGAATGTTGAGTGATTAACGACGGGCGCGAACAAGTCTTCGCTTGGCCAAGCGAAGGGAACCGCTTGGGTCGATGAATGTCGTGACTCGGTTTGTGAGATGCCTGGCGATATGGAAAGCATTCGGGTTCTTGGATCGAACACTGCAGCAATCAACTTGGCAAGTATTCGACAGTATCAGGTTATCACCTACAGTGATTGCAAGGCCGCGATTCGGACTTTGATAAACGAATGGCTCAGCTCGTCGGACATTTTGATGCTGACTTGGGGATTTCGAGGAAGAGACTTTGGAGCACTGGTCAAGACTTGACGAGACTGAAAGCTTTTCAACTGGTCCATTGTAACTAACAATTCGGGTTTTAAAGCAGGTTTACGCGCATACTTATTGCCCATTTGCATGTGCTTCGAATCGGAAGCCGAATATGGAACCTCACTCAGCTGAGGATTCATGTCATACAACAGCTTACATGGATTTCCCCCGAACGTCTCGGGGTTACCAGTAAGATCTCGCTCATATCCGCCGCTCGATAACTGTATAAACAGTGCAAGAAATGTCGTCTATATTCTCCGTCGAGATCTACCTCTAAATCCACCCAATATCGTGTCCTCTTTAGATTTTGCTTCCTGCGCCATGCGAAACCGCATCAGTCTCTGTGCAACGCACGTGAACGACAACAAAAGGAAACATGCGCATGCGCCACGCATACACATTTCATAATATCGTAGAATTACTTAATGAAATCACTGGGATTTACTCTTTGATCCTTCATAGTAGTGGGCCATCTGCAAGCCGGCTCGTCGGAAGCCGCACTTGACGTAGAAACCCTCGTTGGCTTCGCTGCAGTCGAGAATGCTCTTGTAGCAACCGACTTGCTCGGCGATGTGGTCGAGGGCTTGTATGATTCGGAGACCGAGCTTCTTGCCCTGTTGGTCCTTTGCGACGGCGATATCTTCGATGTGGCCTACAGCGCCCAGGCTGTGAATGCTACAGACTGTTAGCGATTGTTTGAAAGAGATTGGAGGCCATTGACTTACAACTTGCGCTCAGTGATCAAGGCACCGGTTCCAACAACAGGCTTATCACCTCGCGAGGTGTCCTCAATGATGATAATGTAGTAACTGCCAGCAGCAAGCATGTCATCGTACTGCTTGGCAAAGTCGGCTTCGGTGATGTCGCCAACAGTGGTCAAAACGCGCAGACAGTCGAGGAAACCGCTGGTAAAGTCGGACTTTCGCAGAGCGCGCAGAGTATATCCCTCGGGGAGAGCGGCGCTGACTTCAGCGGAGAGGAGGTTGGCGCTGAACATGCCTTCTTGAGCCATGGCGGTGTCGGTGTCGATATGGCGGGGGATTGTTTTTGGCGGGGTTGTTATCGAGGGGCGCGGGATATGGACTTTGTTTGTTAACAAAGATATTCAAAAAGAGCAATTGAAGAGAGAGAGAGAGAGAGAGAACCAAAAGGATATGTGTAAAGTTGAGATATTATCGATGTAAGATCTAGAGGTGATTTCGTCTTTTTCCGTTTCAGACAGAATGGGCGGAGTCTTGAGCTGAGCTTGGCTTGTCCTTTCCCGTACCTTTTGTGTTAGTGCCCCCCACTGGTTCTATATCGGTGACAATTTACCATCATCGCTCAGGGGTCAGCCATTCACAGCCTCAAGGCGATCCCGAAAACTAAAAAGGAGCTTCAGAGGGCAAAAAGTGTGGTTCCGCCCGGGATCGAACCGGGGACCTTCTCGGTGTTAACGAGATGCCATAACCAACTAGACCACGGAACCGAGGTACTTGATTGGATGGGAGTGAGAGAATCAGTTGGAGCTCAAGATTGTGCTGGTGGCGGCGGCGATGAAGCTGTTGTGAAGTTGTTCCATGGTTCACTTATACGGGTGGAAGGAAAGTTCCAATCTTATCTATCAGCCAGATAGATGCGTCAAGGGGCCTCTCCTAGTAACTCCATTACATAAATTGAAGCAATGCAGTCCATGCTGTGGTTCTAGCAATGTCCACGTTGTGCGATACTGGCGGTGACAATAACATCAGGAACACAAACGGTCGCCGCACCAGATGGTCCCTTCTATTTACTTGAGTCAAATCACATGCTTGAAACCTGACATGAATAGATTGAGAGGCGTTTTAGTTATTAGCATCAGTCTTGTCAGGCTTCAAAGATAAGTTACACGCTGAATCCATGTCTCAAAGTTCCGCTGTTTTGTTTCTCATCGCCAATAATTCGCGTCTAAAGTCCAATGACTGATTGTTTACTGAAGACATTCGCCAATCCTATTATCTTCTGAGGCATGAAGGGTCGCATCAAGAGATTGAATGTTTTAGACACTCGAAATTGGATGGCTTCTAGGCCCTGATAATCGGTATCAGATACTTTACAAACTCGGAATATTCTGCTTGACACCATTACGATAGCGCTGTAACATCAAGGTCCTGATCAGGTACAAAACTCGATTTACAAGGCGAATTATAGCGACGCGATTAGACACTAATTATCTGCTAAAAGAGCAAGGATTTAAATTGATGAGTTGTCAAGCATCAAGTCTTGGCAGGTACAGGCTCCTTTATCATGCAATCACATGCAAATCTGTTTCACATCTCGTCATCTCTGTCTCTCTCTCTTATTCCCTGTATTCTTTCATGTCGTCCAACCAGGCTCACAAGCGACATGTCATTAGTTCTTTGCCACGTTCTTATTTACATTCCGGCCATGTAATTGGTGTTATTCGTGGCCACCCTTCAGTGTGTTCCATGTGTTGGGATTCACGACGCTAAAGTTGAACTACTCAAACTTCGCTCAAACCTCGTCTCAAAATACGCCAGAAACACTTTGACCTCTCGTTTGTGGTTATTCCATTAACAAACATTCAACGTTTATGCTAGTATCGTTGAACTACAACTATCCCGCCATATCCACCCTACTTTCGCCCCTCAACACCATTACGATCGGGCTTCAATGACAACCACTTCGCCATGGATAACAAAAGCATCATATCGGCCGAGGACCTACCTACACAGCCAGGCCGAACACTACTCCCCTCACCAGTAGCTCAAGCCGTTAGTCTTGCAACACGGTCAACATGCTTAGCTATTCGTCTCAGTTCCAGGGCCGGATCTTACGGTCTAAGTGCTGCAAAGGTAACCACTTTGTCTTCATTGGAACTTGCTCGCAGCATGGTCGAAACTGTTTTATCACAAGCAGGAAGAGAAACACTCTCGCGGTCACAAAGCTATATGTCTACCGTTGAAGCCGAGTCCATCATCGAACGAAGTTTCGAGCATCTTCATCATGCCATGTCCCAGGCCGTCTTTTGGACAAGTGCAGGTTTTCATTTCACAAGTACAACTTTCTCCATGGCTTCGGGGATATCGCAACTACTTCTGTCTTCACTCGATCAGATCTTCGGCTCAACTGATTCGTCTCGAGCCATTGCGAGCATTGTCACCCTGATTAGACGGGAGTTTCACGATCCCGCCACCGGCATCCATGGCGATACTGTTGGTATGATGGACCTTGTGCTTGGGCTATGTGCTCTGGCATACCTACAAAGGTGGTCCTGGAAGATGGTCGAAGAGGAAAAAAGACGGCAGGACTCCGAAGAAATAATATGGGACGTCGTTGTGTTAAATGATGGCGAACGTGTCGACATTCAAGATCGTATTACTCGAACACCAGTCTTCACGAGGCCAGCCAGTTCAACATCTCGAGACGCCAGTCCTACCAAGCTCGAGCAAGCCGTCATTGGTTCTCAATCTGCACCTTTTCAAGAGGAAGAAGCTGTCATCGACCAGCTCAAAGATGAAATGGTCAAGAAACTCCCTCCCGACACCTCCGTTTCCATTTCCAACACAGTGTCATCGACACAAACAGTTACCATTGACGTTGATGGACCTCGCCCATTCCCTCTACCCTTACTACCAGGTGCCGAGGTTATCGAGACCAAGGGATTTAGTAATCAGGCAGGCCGTCGCACCAGTCAAATACTGAACGACCCTCCCGAAGCCTCCAGCTACCGTGTTGTCTATAGGCTTGAGAGGTCAAGGACTGGTGACATTTCCTTTCAGGGGTCTCAGGACATGCCTGTCTCTGTTATTGATGTATCAAAAGAGGACCCGGCCCCTGAGGTTCCAGCCAAAGAGCCTCCCCAAGTGCCGAAGAAGACGAGAACAACAGGAGTCAAGTCGCCTCCGCCACAACGTTCAAGGCCCATCAAAGGTACTAACGATCAGGCATCTCGAACTTCTCCTCAGGCCATACAAAAACCTCGAGCCAGTGCAATACGGGATGAAAAGGGGAAGTTCATACGACCAACCTCCGCATCACCACCATCATCGCCAGTAGAGATCAAAACTCCACAACGTGAAGCAAACCAAAAGAGACCACGCGCACCTGTCAACTCCTCACAAGTCACCAACAAGACCAATCCTCCGCGAGAAAGCACTACAACTCCGAGAAGAGTGCTCCCAAAGAGGAAATCAGACTCTTCGACTACTAGTCAGACAAGCGAGAAAAAGACTGGTCTTAGACAGGCACTTCGAGAAGGAAGTCAATCGATTTCCAACATTTGGAACAAGGATTCACCACCTCCAGAAAGCAAACCGAGGCCACAGTCAAGGATATCAACTATCAACAAGACTGGCAACAAACCCATGCACAGTCCGCGCTCCTCCTTGGATCAAAAACGTATCGAGAAGGCGGAGCTTATACCGCGCAACCCTTCTCGTGCCAGCTATGTCTCCGTCCATGAACGTCGTCGAGACTCTATGATATCGCAAACAGATACGTACTCCATCCACTCAGGATATGGCACACCAACCCATTCCCCCAATGTTTCGCTGAGTGGCGCAACATTCGATTCCTCTTGGGTTCAACAAGCCCAAAATGATGGTCTCCTTGCACCTCCTCCAATTTCTGCCGGTTACCGCAGGGTCCTTCGTAAAAGCCCAAGTCTTTGGAGCATGGCATCCAATGATTCGCAATCATCACTGGTCCTTTCATACTACCATCAAAAGAGCGCCTACACAGCGTCAGATGCACTTGGAGGTCTTCGACGTGATGGTATGGTGAATGGGATATTTCCTCAAGCACATGTTCTTCGAAACATCACGAGGTATATGAGGTTCTCGTCTGCATCGTACGGTTCCGCGTTTCTCAAGTTCATGGGCATTTCGAAAGACATGCCCCTATTGAGAGCTTGGGATAGCACCCATACAGATGTCAGGCATTTCGTCCATCATACTGAATCAGACACCCATAGTGTTCTTCTTGCCTCTATTGTTGATCCACAAGGAGGAACGGACTCTAGTGGTTCAACCGGTACTGGCGTTCCTTTGGTACACTACATCTCCCTTGACCATGATGCTAAAGCAGTCGTTCTTGCTTGTCGAGGTACACTGGGTTTTGAGGATGTTCTGGCAGATATGACATGTGATTATGACGTTTTGACGTGGCGTGGTCGAGGCCACAAGGTGCATAAAGGTGTTCATGCTTCAGCTCGTCGTCTTTTATACGGTGGCGATCGCCGCGTGCTGGTTACTCTTCGAGAAGCATTGCTCGAGTTTCCAGATTATGGACTTGTTCTCTGTGGCCATTCCCTTGGGGGCGCAGTGACAGCATTGCTTGGAGTAATGCTTTCTGAACCAAACCCAACAGGCACTGGCTTTGTGACTGCGATTGAGGGACCAGAAAGAACTGTTGGTGATGATCTGTCTGATGGGCTTCTACCCGTTCATTCTACGTTACCACCAAGACGTCCTATACACGTTTATGCTTATGGACCTCCCAGCACTATGTCAGCATCTCTACGCAAGAGGACTCGTGGTCTCATTACAACCGTGGTTCATGGGAACGACATTGTTCCATATTTGTCGCTGGGAGTTCTGCACGACTTTCAGGCAGTTGCACTCGCTTTCAAGAATGACCAACAACAAGCCAAGGCGGAGATACGTCAACGCATATGGCAAGCCTTCCAGACTGGTGTAGCAGATAAGTGGTACGGAGGTTTGCCATCTGTGCCATCAGGAGACTCGTCCAAATGGGGTCATTCCGTGTTACAGGGCCTCAGAGCTGGTATGACGAACCGTAAGCTTGTCCCACCGGGAGAAGTTTTTACCATCGAGACACAACGGGTTTTGAGGCGAGATGCATTCTTACTACCAGAAGAAGATCACATTGGCAAGCCAGCCCAAAGAATTGTAATGAAATATGTCAAGGATGTTGAAGAGCGCTTTAAAGAGCTCAGATTTGGAACGAGCATGCTGATGGATCATAACCCAGCCAGGTATGAAGAAGCCTTGAACAAGCTTCGTGTTGGAG